AACTTACCACCTCAACTGAGCTCAGAATTTCTATTGCAAGCTAAGACATTTGTTAAGTGAGTTTTGCCCCATGTTACTACCTTTCCTGCCATATTTGTTAAGGGAATCACTGCAGCTGTTAATTAGTAACATGGCTGTTAAATGAATCTGGCTTCCCCATTGACTTTGCTTGTCAGAAGGTGGCAAAATGACCCTGGGACACTGTAACGGTCATAAATAGGCATTAGTTGCCAAGCATCTGTATTTTCATCACACAACCATGGGGATGTTGCATCAGTCATAACTGTGAAAAATGGTCATGTTATTTTTTTCCCAGTGCCGTTGCAATTTTGAACATTTTAAATGAACTGATGTAAGTCGAAGATTACCTTTATGTACACCTGTTATTTTTTCTGATGATCCTTTGAATTTTAACTCACGTTTGCTTACTGCCATGTAATTTATATCTGCCTCATAAAAAGACTAGAAAGTGAAATTTATCATTTATTATGGTACATTTGCAGTTTGTTTTTAAGCTTTTGTTTTCTGTTTTTAAAAGTTGTGAGACTATTGGAGACAATATTGTTAATGTTTTTAGGCCATATAGGGCTTTTAACAATTTGAGTATCACAGGGCCTTCACAAAATGACTGCCTTGTTGGGTGTGGCCCATCACAACACATCCACTTCAGAACAATGGGTGATGCTAAAATATGGTATTTTCTTGCCAGAGATTTGGAATCCAGTAAAAAATAAGTAAACTTTAATAAAAATTCATTTCTCGGACTTTAAATACCACAGACAAAATTTTTATTTGGATATTATTATCAGCAATAAACTCTCATTGTTTTTAAGAAGTCTGGACAATTGAGATTGTTTACATCATTTGTATCAATTTATATCATTCGTACAGTGATCCAGTTACCTCAAATATGTAATTATCTATATTACAGACGGAGACAAATGATTACCACTCAGAGCCATTTGGAGCAATACCACATGAAAATATCAGTAACACATAAATTAATTGACCAAATGAAGCAATTGCATTTTAACAAACATTTGCTGTTAATAAGCATCCCTTCACTTCCAAATCTATGTAAAACTTGCAAAATCCAAACTTCAACACACACTATTTTTCTGCATCTTTTCAAGATTATCATCTCACAAATACACACGCACACACGCACACACAATTCCCATGTTTTCTCACTCCAAAGTCCACCCATTCTTTTCTCTGCCACTTATGCAGCACCTCCCTTTTCTCATTCATTCTCATTTCCCAACTTACCACAAAGGCTTCCCCAATCCTTTCTGTTGATTTTTGTAGCTGGTCAGCCTAGACGCCAATTATCTTCTCCACTGACCACATTTTTCCAAATCGAGATGCAAGCTCCTTTCTTCAGCTCCACTTTGCTCCTCTCTTGAGTACATTTTCTCCCCACACCTTTTTCTCATTACCACAGACCATTTCCAGCTGCTAGCTGGTTCACTTACATTGCTGCTGCAGGCCTCTCCTTTCTTCTGGACCAGAGTATTTGAAAACCCAGGCTTTGCTTCTCACTTCTCACCACCTTTGGGGATACCTTTGGATTCTGGCTATAGCAGGTTGTGTGCTCAACCTGCTACAGGTAGTCCTCAATTTACAATCCATTTAGTGATTCTTTGAAGTGATGGTGCTGAAAAAAGTGACTTACGACCCTTTTTCACACAAACCCTGCTGCCCTGCCCCTTGGTCACATGATCAAAATCCAGATGCTTAGCAACCGTCTCATATTTATGACGGTGGCAGTGTCCTGGGGTCATGTGATCCTCTTTTGCAACTTTCTGAAAGGCAGTCAATGGGGAAGCCAGATTCACTTAACCACCGCATTGCTAACTTGACGACCAGTGAGTCACCTCACAACTGTGGCAAGAAAGGTCGTAAAATGGGGCAAAATTTACTTAACTGTCTTGATCAGCAACAGAAATGTTGGGCTCAATTGTGATCATATGTTGAAGACTACCTATAATGTAGCCACTGAACTTTGTGCAGCAGGTCAGACGGTATAGCACAATTAAGGACATTACATAGGCACGAGTTAGATGCACCCCATCCTAAACGCTTTGTTTCCACTGCTGCCTGAGTTAGAGAGCTCTGTCCTGTTGTAACCCTTTCCAAGAGTGCTGCACTCCCAGTGGAGGGTTGCAGGCAGTAAGCCCCAGTATGGGCGTACCAAAGCCTGCCTGGAGCACCAGTTTCCGTTCCTGTGCTCCGGAGGGCCCACCCGCCTGTGCTCCTTACCTGTCCTTTAAAGCCTTCAGCGCTTCCACCCACGCATGGTGTGTACAGCACCTGTGCAACGCTCCACCGAACAGCTGGAGCGTCGCAGAGGCTTGCGGAGGTTTTAGATCGGGTAAAGGAGGCACAAAAGGCTTCAGTAAACAACAGCTCTTTATTGCAAATCAGGTAAACATCCGGCTGAAGAATGGTCAGGCAG